GATCTCTAAGACAGCAGTTAAAAACCTGACAGGGGTTCTAATTCATACCTGTTAAAAACAATTTAAAACAATAAAAGGTTTGAGTACAGGAAAAAAAAAAATATCCCAATTATTCCCCAACAAACAAGTTATATTTTCACTACAACAATAAAAGGACATGGAAAGCAATACCTGCTCCGTCCAGCCGTCCTGTGCCGAGTTTGTTCTCATTTTGGACAATATTCTTTGCTCCCAGTAGTTGTAGATTTTTATAGAGCAGCCATGGACCGGAGCATTCGGTAACTGACCAGGAAGGATCACTGCAGCACGCTAAGCTGATCTATATACTATTGCCTTAAAGGCAGCAATGAGAAGCTTGATTCCCAATGACGGAGGAGAATGATGGTCATAAAACAAGAAAGCAGCAGGAAAAAATGACTGAGTTCAGATTTTATGATAATGTGTAACTCAATAAACCAGGGTTGGAACTTAAGTCCATTAGGGGCTACCTAATTTCATAAAGAAATGGCTTACCACCAGCAACAAGTGCAGTTAAAAGAATATAAAATGAAGTATCTCAGTTGAAAAGAAAAGGATTATTGCACAAAATCTGCTTAGCTGTCCCCTAGTCTCTGGTTTTCCTGATAGAGTACCCATAAACATAGATGTAAGGGCGCCTAAAGAGGCGTAAACAGGACATTAACTCTACTGTTTGCAAGTACCTTGGGCAGACCTTAGATGACATGATTATTTTTTTTTTAATATCAATGCGTCATTTAAAATTAAAAAAAGATAAAAATAAATTTTAAAATGTTATTTACAAATCAAAGAAAATATGTTTTTCTGCCCAGTCTCTGGTTATTATTATGTAGACCTTATTAGTGAAGTTAGGAGGAAGCAAAGCCTGATAATGTAATGAAGAAATCAGGCAGCCCTCCCACACAACTATAAATAAACAATTTACAAGAAATTTAAAGGTCAAGTGGGGATGAGGCGTTGAACCAGAAACTATCTTTAGTTCAATAGGAGAAATACTGGGGGTCTGGTTGCTTCACAAAACAAGGGGCCCTCCAAAGGGAGGGGAAGCCCAGAATGAAAATTCCACATGAATGAAGACTAAGGGGGTTATTCGCAAAAGGGTGAAGAGATTGGAGAAGGCAGGAGACGTGAACAATCTACGACAACATAGCTAAACTGGAAAGTGAGCTGAACTGGACAATTCTTCCAAATCAGCTATGTTGTCCTAGATTGTTCACGTCTCCTGCCTTCTCCAATCTCTTCACCCTTTTGTCAATAACCCTCCTAGTCTTTTTAGTCTTCATTCACGTGGAATTCAATCTTTCACACCATGTATAGTGTTGCCCGCATATTTAGGATGTGACAACATACATAGTCACATGGGGTGTGTCCGTTGCTTACATGCCTTGTTCTAAAATTGTCCCTTTTTTCTTACCACAGAAAGTTGGGTTTAATGCTGAACTCTGTGATGTGCCAATATTGTCTAAATACAAGAGTAATCTAGTGTGAAACCTTGCCTCTGTGCAGGAGCTTCCTGTAACAACCAGTCACTGCTTCTGCTCCCTGCACTGGCTATGTACAACACAGTGGTGATGTCCCTGCTACTTTTACTTTTGTTAAGGAGTATATTTTAATGAAATGAAATATTTTGTGTCTGGAGTTCAGCTTGAAAGAATAAATCCAGTTATTTAAAAAATGAACCCTTGCAGTGGGACTACTCTCGCACTGCAAGGGTTAACTGCTTGTTTATCTCTAGGGGCTGGCATTCAGAAGATCTATTCATTCGATCTGCAATACTACAACGGTGTGCGCTCACCTCTCTCCTGGCTGTAGTATGTCCCTCTGCGTCCCCACATCTAATGCAGGTGAATGGGCCTGTGATAGACGTGATGATGTCAGCAGGGCTTAGACTGACAGAGTCCATTGAAGAAGAGGTTGAAGCACCGGTCTAGCAGCCAGGCGGGATTAGGGATGAATATGTATTTTTTTTTTTTGAGCCTCTAGACCAAAACGAGCAGTTAACCCTTGCAGTGTGGAGCTAGCCCCACCGAAAGGATTACATTTCTAAATTTGTGGAGTTCCGCTTTAAAGCCCAACTCCAGGCAGCAGAAAATGTTGCCCTTGCAATGGGGCTCCCACCACACTTGAAGGGTAAATGCTCCTTATGTCCTGGCGGATAGGAATGAGATGACACTTATGTTCTTACTCGCTCGCCCCCTCCTGCAGGGTCCTCCAAAGCTCTTCTTCTTCACTGCCAGGCCGGTTACAGCTCTCCAATGTCAACAGCACAATACAAGATCGCTGAACTTGGCCTGCCCTCACCCCAGAGAAGAACTTTGCCTGCTGGGGAATGAGGAATAAGATCAGTGTGGTGCTTATTCCTATAGCCCTAGACAAGTCAAACATTGATGGCAAGAGTACATTTTACACTAACCTGGAGCTCAGCTCTACTGTGATAAAGAGATTCCACTGGAAGAGGAAACATCCCATGTCCGATGTGTCGGGTGAAATTTCCAGAGGATTGTACAAATCCAGTTATCTCTGCACCATCAGCCAGGCCTGGGTTTGTCGAAAGGCAACCCAGGATAGAGCCTTAGGCAGCAAAGTTGAAGGTTTTATTTTTATTTCATTATCTTTACAATTGATCTCCCTCATAATCAGGCAGGCGCAAAGCAAAAATAATTTAAAGCCAATTTTTTAATTTTTACAGAGGTGGGAAGGTTTAGGTACTGTTAACACTGTGTTTTAGAGGATGGGCTAGTGCATTGTAGCAGCTCTGGCAGAGTGCAATAAAACTGTTATTATTTATATATATTTTTTTTTACTTTATGGGGAGTGTACAATGTGGAAACCCCATTCAGGTCCCAGCACAGCAGTGCAGCGCACCTGCATTGGCATCCGGTGCGCTGCAAAAATATGCAGCACGTTTGCATTTCTCTGCAGCACAGCGCACCGCCATCACACCCGCATTGTGGTGTGAACAGGGCACATAGAAAACCCTTTTTTTTAAATGTGTGCTAGCGGTGGGCTGTGGTGGTCTGGTGGGGTAATATGCACTGCTATATTTATGAAAAGACCATCAACCTCAGTTACTGGCCAGATGGCAGGGTGTCACAAGGATGGGAAGTCACTATAGTCCGTACAGCTGCCGAAAGGGTCCGAGCGGCTCAGTCGAGCCGAATGCATATGCTTCTGCTCGACTGAGCTGAAGTGACAGCTAAAGCAGGGGGAACGGCCGGCTCTGCCCAGTTGTAATGACAAATCAGTCATTATATAGTAAACAATTAAAAAAACAGTAGTGATTAAATATCACGAAAAGAAAGCTCTATGCCCCCCCCCTCCCCCTCCAAAAAAATTGCTGACATCTCTCATTGTTCTCTGAAGAGAAATAAGGAAGATATTTTTTTCTACTACAGAAGTAGTAATGGGGGGAATATAAATAGAGTTGCAGTTTCATATTCTTAATGGGCACAAGAGGGCGGCCTTGCACATGTTTTACTAGGAAATTCCTCGGTTTTGCTTCCTAGCTTCTACTTTACAGAACACCTTTCATGCCAGAAATACGGGGCAGCATTTCTGGAGTCTTCGTTGTCTAGCTGTGTCTGCCTTCAATACTTCTGAGACACTGACTGAGAAAAGGCTTGTAGCAAACAGGTGTCTAAGAAAAAAGGCAGCAATATAGAAAATGTCACCAGCACTCCAGCACAACACAGATCCATATGTCAGTGCAAATCCATTTATTGATGCTAACGAATACTCAGAGTAACATCAAGCGCTTTCGGGGGCCACGCAGGGTCCCCTTCATCAGACTCAGAGTAAACTTATGAAGAGTAAACTTATGAAGTTTACTCTGAGCCTGATGAAGGGGACCCTGCGTGGCTCCGAAAGCGCTTGATGTTACTCTAAGTATTCATTAGCATCAATAAATGGATTTGCACTGACATATGGATCTGTGTCGTGCTGGAGTGCTGGTAACAGTTTCCATATTGCTGTATTGAGGGCGGCGCCATCCGTGGTCATTGCAAGCACCCACAGTCACTGATGGGAATTCCGGTAAGGTATACTTGTTCTAAGCCAATGATTCAAAGGGCTTCTTTTTTAAAATGTCTGCCGCCAGAATATAGCCAGGAGGATGCTGTTTGCAGGGCGTTAGCACCCCTAGATGGCGCTGACGAGTATATGAATTCCTATACTCGCCAGGGCCATTTAGGGGTGCAAGTGCTGTGCGAATGGCATCTACCTGGCTGTACACAGAAGTTTTATAAATGAAGCTTAAAGCATTGAAACCATTAGGACAGCTATGATTAGGACAGCTATGCAACTAGCTGTCATAATCATAATAATGATAACTAGCAAAAGGAGAAATCAGCAATGGCAGCCAAAATATTGCTCTCATAAAAGGTTTTCCTTAAAATGCATCCATCATGGATCAGCAATTGCTGATCTCGTTTTGAAAAAAAAAGCTAGTTGTCTGGCTATGCCTTGCATTAGTAATTGAGCCATAGGCCCATGCAGATCTATCTAGTATTTCTTACAATACCCTGAACGCTTTGGTCACTTCAGTTTTTTCCTCCATTGCAAGATGGAGGAAAAAACTGGATGGACACGGATGTCACAGCGGTGACATCGAATTCGCACTGCCCCGATTAGAAGGGGATGTATGCACGGATTCCCTCCTGATCTGCCTGTGTGAAAGGGGCCTTCAACGGTTCATAATACTCAAAGGGGTAAGACAGCAAACTCCCTCTGTACCCCCAGTCCAAATGGTGCCTAGAGGAAATGAGAGAATCTTTTTGGAATCTCCAGCAGGTAGTGAGAGCTTCTCAACTGCTCTAGAGACTTGTTCAGGACTATGTGGCATCAGCAGGGAGGTCAATTATCCACCTGGCCTAAAGTATAGAGGGATGTATAAGGCCATACACCTATCACTTTTTTTCGTTCAAACTGCGGGCTGAACAAAAAAAATGGACCCAAATCCTCCATCAACACAAACAGTGTGTCAATCGAGGAATCCCACTGTTTGCATTGTATTCTGAAAGGTGCCACCGGCTTTCCCAAAACAAAAGGTAAAGGCATATCATCCAATGGGCAGGGCCATCCCTTTAATGCGACAGTCTGAGACTGCGAGGATTTTGCCTCAGATGTCATCCCTTTGGTCATGTGGGGCCAAACACATCTCCCCTCCCAGCTTTTAGCAACCAGTGAAATCAGTGAGCTGGGCGGCGCACAACACCAGGACCCCATCATTCTGCCCTCCAAGAACAGGACC